GAAGGGACTAGATGGTCAAGAGGAAGGTGTGAGGTTCATGCTGGGCGCAGACAAACTGAGCGGGATGAAGAAAAACAGGTAGGAGATGAGCATGAGGGAGACCTCCCCACTCCTAGGTGTGGGAGTGCTTGCCCAGGCTCCCATCCTGGGAGAATTCAAGCCTCTGAAATACAAAATAGAAAAATACCAGCCTGTGGTAGGAAGTCCCACTCTTTCTTTTCCCATGCACTTGTCCCACTCAGCACTGCCTCATCCTGCCAGAGTAGTATCATGTCCAGGAGGCATTCTGTTGCCCCTTGCACACACACCCCCCGTTCCACCCCACCCCACCACCACCCCCCCCCGGGTATCTCATCCACTCCCACAGAACACAGCAATACCTCACCATTGAATTCATCTCCTCTTGGACGAGTAAGAAGATGACACCCAGGAAGCATCTCACTTAAATAGGGAAATGGGAAAAGGAAAGTTAAATTGGTAGAAGGATAAGGATTAAGTTCACATAATTCTTGTGTAACAGAGATAGAAGCTGTATAAGGCAAACAAAATCCAGGGAAAAGAGGAGCGATAGCACAGGAGAGGCAGAAAGGACTTGAGTCCTGTTTTGACGTCTGAAGCTATAGCTGGCAGCCTCGTGAAGAGGCCAGTCAGCATTCTGGGGACAAAATTGCCTGGCTGTATGGAGGAGGCATAAAATTTTGAGAAAAAAGTCATGCCTTTTCTTGACAAGTGTTGGCTCATAGGGATTAAGCAGGGTACAATGCCTTCCTTCTGGTTCACTCCCCTGCCTTTCATTCCCTGCAAGGCGAGTAAGCAGCCACCCCTGCATCAAGCAGGGGAGAAAGGGGCAATGGTAGGAAGATCAGAACCAGCTGGCTCATAGATGAATTCCTCCCTCCTTCCTCCACATGGTCACTCTGCTAGAGGCTGTAAGCAACACACACAGGGTTGTTTGGGGTATGGTTGACTTTTGGAACTCTGGGTGTCTTGTAGCTGAGGGCACAGGGCTCTGCATGGCAGGACTTTGGGCTGAGAGCCCCGTAATCCGGGCAACAGCTCGGGCTCCCCTCGCCACGATCCATCCTCGCTGCAGCAGCGCTGTAGGAAGCGGTGCCAGGGTCACACCACCATCTGCTGGCCTGTCCTCGCCGCACAGCTGCGGCAGCCCGGCCCAGCCTCTGGGGCTGCCAGATGCATCCTCCCGGCTCCGCGGCAGTGCCAACAGAGCCCCCCTACCGACTGCAGAGCTGACCCAGGGATCGTAAGCAGCTCCACACCCCTGGGGTTTCTCAGAGACAGAAACCATCTTTATTCTGCTGGCTTTCCCAGCTGAGTGCAACAGCAGTTTTCCCATCACATGTACCTTCCTAATGGCCCTCTTTTAGTTTTGAAGCAATCAAGGCATGCTCCACTCCTGACTGCACTGCTTGGACTTACCATTTGTGAAAGTGCAAGTGGATTGATGCTACCTATGTGCTTCTTCTCAGCTTACTTCATATGGAAAGCTTGCAAACCTGTGGGTGAAGCCAGGTCAACAGCAGCCCAGATGTGCCAAAAAATGCGCCAGGCTTGGTCCTGGGGCCTGAAATCTCATGTGTTGGTCTGCACCACACAAATGAGCTGATGAAAGAACCATGTTTGATTGCTAAAGAGGTGAACAATCACAGGGGTTTATTTCGCACAGACTGGTCACATCAGCCCTGACAAGGTCATACACAAAGGTTGCAAAACCTCTAAACCTCTTCTGGGAGTCTTAATGAGAGTCATCTACTTTAAGTTCTCTCAAATGAAGAGATATGAGAGTTTGCCTTTGTGGAGGGCAGTAACATCAACATTGTATTTCAGATATCTACAGCACTTTGCAGGGATTAACAAATTAATCCCCATAACAGCTCTAAACAACCTTTGCTGAGGCATCATTATCCCCCATTTTATATATGACAGGTGGTGAGATTTCTCCAAGCCTATAATTCAGAGCCAGCAGTTCCCAGACTCTGGGCTGGTGCTCAGTCTAATTGTTCCTGCTGCCGTCTTCTCCCCAGGGATGGATGAGCAAGGGCTGTGCATGTAGACACAAGAGACAGGGTGCAAAGTGCTCATCTATCTGACAGGAAGGACCATGCTCATGTTCTCTTAGGATAATAGGGTCAACACATATCCCATGAGCAATCCACCCTGAATACTTTGCTTCAAACAGAGCTGGAAGCCTGATGGACCAACCATCTCTGGCTCATTTTATCAGCTTTGTTTTCATGTGCCAAGGAAAATTGTCAAGTTAAAAGCCTTGAAGGCTAGTGCTCCTATTTCTCTTGTAAGTTTGTACAACAGCAGCAGACACCATGAAACCTTACCTGACAGTGAGTCAGCTGTGAGCTGAGGAGTCTCTTTCTTCACAGGCAGTTTTCCAGAGTCTGCTCCAGTATCTGAACATTCTCATCCGCGGAGAATTTGCTGAGCTCTGTAAACAGACATCTCAGAGCAGGTGCCTTTCACAAAGCACAGCAAACAGGACCTGAATGGCATATGTAAGACCCACACTAGGTTTTGTAAGATTGCTGTTAATGAGCTTGCATTGCTGTTACTAATAATGCAAGACAAGAAGGCACCTCCTCAGTCATGGTGGCTCCCGGGATATCAATTTTAGCTGGAGATGAGAGTGTTTAAGGTCTTCTGAATCCTCATAGATCCTCCTTGTAGAGTGCTAATCTGAGCATTCACCATTTGAGTCGAGGCAGTATCCCTATGGCAATGGTTTCAAAGGTATGCAAGAACCACCGTCACAACTGTTGCAGCCACCAAAGGAGCAATGGGATGGTCTGTGGATGATATGGGCTCTCTGGAAGAGGGAGACTGCCATGGTCCAGAGGAACCAGCCACAGCCCTGTATGAAGCTGGGAGCAGGATGCCACAAACCCCTGCATGTCCTGAAGAGCACACAAAGAAAAGGGACACCAGATGATGAAATATTGTTCCAGGCTAGCGTTTAACTGCTGCTGGACTTTGCACCAAGGCCAAATACACCTTCCTGCCTCCTCCAGGGTTAGCCACATGTGGCAGCAGGTAATGTGGGCAGATGGGGACAGACACTCTGCACACTCCTTAGACCACCTTTCCCAGGACTTGCTGCCCAAGACTTTGTGGTTCTGTTCTCCAGAGAAACCCATTAGCAAGAGAAAAACTGCTGGAGAGTTTAAAAATGTGGATGTCAGCAAATGGTTCACATCACCCCAGGAGCCGGAGTCCCACCAGGGACAGGAGCTGAGGGTACCACCACCCACCCTTCCTCTCCTCATAGCTAGACAATGAATTTCTCCTCAGTGTCCTATGAAATCCTGTCTCGAGGGAAGATCTGAAAGAGGATAAGAAGAATCTTGCAGACTGGTTCAAAGAAATTGGAGGTTGAAGTGTGAGAACGCACGGCACGGTGGGGCTGACATCAGGACAGCCGGGAGGAGCGGCACCCTGGTTTCGCAACCAAGGGCAGGAACCTGACGGAAAGGGCCAGACAGCAACGGGCTGTGCAAAGCCGGGAAAACAGACGCAACCTGGCTGGAAATCCAAGCTCCTGGGAGCCGAGCTCTGCGCAGGCACAGGCTGGGTGAGCACCTGCAGGTGGAGCTGCGAGAACTGCGGAGCAGCAGCCAGCCATCTCCCGCCTGCAAAGAACGGCTGGGTGAGGTGAGGCAGGCGGCAAGGCAGGGGTGGAGGGGAGCACAGACCCTCACCTGGCCACACACTTTGGCACGGAAAGGTCGGGGCTCAGCAGGCTGGGAAACAGTCTTTACGTTTGGAGGAGTCTAGTGACAATCTGCAACCAGTTTCCTAACTAGGGCAAGAAATCACAGAGATGGGGTGAAAAAAAAAGCCCTGCCAACAGCAGAAGTACCCAGATCAACAGCCACTAACCCAAATGTCAGGCCATTTGCTTAGGAAACAGGCTAAAATTTGCCTTCTGTGCAGTTTAAGACAGGGAGTAGTACTACCACCACACGGAGCTGTAGATGCAGCCTTCACCTTGCCAGGCTTTAGCACAAATATTCAGTACTTGCTGATGCAGAAAGACTGACCCTGTCCCTAGGGTCTGGCAGCAGAAGTTCCTACTAGAACCTCCTCATGTTTTTATCTTTCTACAAAAACACCTTCCCAAAGCATCAGAGTATTATCAAGGGAAAACCTAAATGCCACATACTGCCATGAAACATTCTGCAAAGTTTTCCAGTTTTGTGGAAAAGTGCTGCCATGTGCTCTTTCCTATCACAAAGCCTCCGCTGGAGCAGTGGCTGGGGCAATGTCCCCCGGTTCCCTGTAGCCATAGCACAGAACAAGAAGGATGCAGGAGTCTCTGCATATTGCCCCTTCCATCTCCACGTCCTTTCCCGGCTCAAGGGCAGCCATCAGGCCCTGGGGTGCTCCAGCAGCCTCTCTGGAGCAATGCAGTTCTCGGGCCGCCCGACTGGCTGCACTCTCAGCTCTGATTTGAAAGCAAGAGAAGGGAGAGTGCTTGAAGCGGAAACTTATCTGAGCCGTCCAGAAGCAGCAGGTTCCCGCGTTCTTGGTAGACAAAAAGGCCAAAACAAACCCCCACACCAATAAGTGAGCAGGTGTGATAGTGGTATGAGTAAAAGTGGGGAATGATCTAATTATCAGTCCGGGGAGGGTACCATCAGGGTGATACAGTCCCTGCAGAATCCTCTCTGCTGGGTGGTAAAACAGTCTCTCTAAGCCACTGCACCCAGAAAATAGCCCATCCCTATGCACCCCTCCCGGGTTGGGCATCCGCCCCATTTCATCAGAAAAAAAAAGTCTCTTTTTCTTGCTGTTTAGTGTGAGAGCAGGCAGAAAAGGGGGGGAGGTGCGGCAAAGAGATGATCAGCTGGCAAGAGAGAAATGCTCTGTGGTACAGAACTCATTCAGAACCTGGCTTATTTCCCTGTCGAGCTCCCTACAGCCTCCAGGATCCTGCCTCCAGTGAGATGCGAGCCCAACCCATGGGTCCATTTCCCAGGCTCAGCTGCTCTGAAATGACCCCACTCCCTGGGAGGGGGCTGCAGGATCCAACTATCCGGGAGGCCAAACAAGGAACGCCTTTCTTGGCAAAGGAGAAAAGGACCTGGGAGGCCTTCGCTCAGGTGACCCACCCGACCCCCATTGCAAACAGCTATAAATCCTCCTGCTTCCCCACCACAGCATTCCCGGGCACTCCTCTCACTGGAGCTGGGCCTGGCTCTGCAAAGCATGTCACTGCTGGATGGCCTTGGAAGGTAAACATGAAGCTGGCTGATTTACTTATCAGAGGGGTTTTTCTGGCTGAGAACTAAGCTGACTTTAACCAGGGCATAGTTGCTAGGCACAAGCTGGCTTTTTGGCTTTGCTGGGCTCCCTGCAGGACTGGCTCACCTGGACCCTGTTAACCAGGTTCATCAAAGCTCAATGTGGTCCCTGCCAGGAACCGCAGGGCGATAAGCCTGGCACCGGGCACTCTCTTCCCACTGGAAGGGGGATTCACTTGGTCTCTGCACATGCTAAGTTAGCAATGAGCAGTGTGTTTCCACCAGGCACAAAAGGATGAAGCATCAGAGCTGGCTCCCGCAGGTCTTTGGAGAACGGTTAACTTTAGATAGTTAGTGGATCTGCATATCTGTCTTCAGAGCTCCTCCCTCCTCTGCTTATTTGCGACTGAAAGCTGGGAAACTGCCTGACAGGTTTTCTTTCCTCTGCTGGCTCTTCCCCCAGCTCCATCTCCTCAGCCCAGTGCGGCTGATCTCTCAGTCCCTGCATTCCACTGTCACCTTCTCACCCTACACCAGCCTCTCCACCCCAGCCAAGCCTCCAAGCACTCCCTCTTTCCACATCCCCTTTTCTGTACAGTATGTCCTGCCTCCTCCCTTCCAGGATCACACATACACACCCCTGTCCCCCCAACTCCTCCCTACCCCTAAGTCCTGCGTTACTGGCTTAGTTCTCTCTCGAAATAAGCATAACAGGGAGGTATGAGTATCTTATCCACACACAGTGGAAAGCCCTCTGGCAGAACTGTTACCTTAGCTGTCTGTCACTCTATGTCACAGTTTTGGTTAGCCTGGGGCAATAGAAAGCCTATGGATGCCGCTGCTAGAGATCAGGGTCTAGGAGCTCCTGAATACTCTGCATGTGATTTATGGGTTCATGGGTGCTCAATACCCTAGAAACCTAGTGTTTTACGTAAGTGACTGTTAATTGTCACCAGCATGGGGCTTATCCACCGTGATGGCACATGAATCACACCTGGTGCAAATTTCAGCTCCTCCTCTGTCAGATAAGAGAAATTAAATGCATGCTGAGATTGTGTGGATAAAGGTGACAAGGTGCCAAGGGATCACCCATGTGGGAGGAAGGGTGCTGGTCTGGGGGTGCTATCTTGCATTGCTGCTTCTGTCCCATTGCAGCAGTCACAGCGCAAGCTGCCAGCAGGGATGCGGCACTGTCCTGCCTGGGTCTGGGTGTCAGGGGCCACCAGCCAAAGCCAGGAGTGGCAATGCCGTGGGACAGGCAGAGCAGTGGAAACGGAGCCTGGCAGGGCAACTTTCAGGCAGAAGGGCCACGACCCTGTGGTGCTCAGGCAGGTCAGGTGAATCGTGCCTTCCTTCCAGTTTTTCCCCATCGATTATGAAAGGAGCCGAGATGGCTGCTGCAGATACAGCTGTTGTGCCTGTCCCCCCCTCCATCTGCCCTGTGCTCGGCTCTGCAGCAGCAATCACACACAGAGGCCTGGGCCACTGAGGATCTGCAGCCCTTGGAACAGAGACCCAACATCTCAAAGGTGTTTTTAAGAGGTTTCTGGCGCTTTGGTTAAGCAAGGTTACCACCTGCACTGAGTAGTTTGCAGTGCGAACAGCACAGAGGAACCCCTTCCTATGGAGCCTCCTGCTCTGGGGAGGCAAAACCTGCTAAACTTCACCAAATGTCCACCAGCACCTTTCCCTCCCTCCCCCAATCCTTAAGGCTTGACTGCCCATGCCTAGCTGTGTCCCACCCAACTTTCTGAGATTCAACAATATTATCCTTGGGAGTGTTGAACTCTAGTATATAAGAGTCACACATAGTTAACCTAAATAACAAGCTCAGGGCTTCCAAGAGATACTTCCTCACCAGCCCAACCCAGCTACCCAAGATGTGAGTGCCTTATGAGTGATCACACCAGGTAGCATCAGGATATTTGCCATTATCTCCAAAACTTTCTATTAATCCATCTTCTGGAGCTGCACTGGTTCATCATGGTCCTGTGTTTTAAACAGAAGGAAACAGTCATGGGAATATTGCAGATGGAGACTTAGCCATCATGTCTGTCATCCTTGGGCACTGCAAAGATTCAAGCTCAAGCACCCTCAGATGTCCTCTCCAATTGACTTTATTTTCTTTCTTAATCCAAAAGCCATCAGTTTCCACTGGCAGAATATCCTCCTGGTTTTAGGCAAGAGCTGTGCTAAGAATTACCATTTAGACGGTGCCAGCTCCACACTTCAGTCAGGAATGCCTTTTTCTCTTTTTTTTTTTTTTTTTTTTTTTTAATTTCAGGAATGTTGTAAGTAAATTCACAGCTGAACAACAGTGGGAATGGAAACCCTCAGAGCTGATGGCTGTGACATTACAGGTACAGTAATTCCAAATTGATCCTCCTTTGTGCTGATAACAGGGCTGGCTATTGTTTTCCTGAAGTCCACATGTCCGAAAACACCGCAGGCGTAGATAATTGCAGTGAGCATGTGCTTTTGAATCTGTTTCTAAAACATGCCTGGGATTTAAGCTTTTTTAAAATCATGACCCTGATTCTGCTTTTTTTTTCAAGCTCAAAAGCAACAATTCCTTTGGCTCAAAATGAAGAAGGGTCTAGCTCTTAAATACAACTTATAAAGAGGCAAATGTGTCCCTGTTTTTTCTTCCTTGTGATGAAAGAACAAAGCCCGAAAGCTTTCAGCATTTACCCAGGTTTTTTTCGTTTTTTTTTTCTTTTTTTTTTTTCTTCCCCTTTGATTTGATTTCCTTTTTTAGCTGTGGAAAGACAGATCTTATCTGAAGTGACTGGACAATTTGAAAGTCTCCCACTTTCTTTCACTATTTCACTCTGATGATGATGCTCATTTAGTTAAGCTTTGTCTTAGGGTATAGCATAGGGTTTCCTTGTAGGTTTTGGCTGGGCAATTGGCTCACAATATCCACCTTTGATCCTTTCATCCTTTCATGTTGGGAAGATTGCAAACTTCATACAGCTAAAGAGAGAAAACAAATAAGGGATAGCTTAATGAGCAGGATGCTTCCATAGGCTATTTTCTGGTGAAAACTGAAGTACCTTTCAGCCTCTGTTATCCAACAGTGTAGTAGAGGTTTGGGGACTGGTTCACTTGGTCTCTGAATCTTCATTTTACTTTTGCTGGATGTGAGCTGTTACTCTGCACCCCCTTCATCATCAATACACCAGTAAAGCACATGACACACAATGGAAAATGGGGAAAATCCTAAATAAATCGCTCTCCAGTACAATATTTTCAGGACAGGACACAGGAAAGGAAAATTAAATAGAAGTTGCCCTATGTCCCTGCGTCACTCTTCCCCACCTCATCTTGCACACAAAAAGATTTTATGTGAGGTGTCCCTGCCCATGGCAGGGGGGTTGGAACTAGATGATCTTAAGGTCCTTTCCAACCCTGTTTTATGATTCTATGATTCTATTTTAGCCTGGCCAAGGTACAACACGCTGACAGTTACGTTATCACAGGGCTGGCTCGGCTGGGATAAATGTGAAGTTGTAAACATGTTGTTACTTGGGGCCTAATTCCCCTTGGTGTAACAGGGCTGCACGGCTGATGTTTGTGTCATGCAACCGTTGGCTCCTCGTGTCCCAGCTTAGAGGGATTATAATTACATCTCACCTTGCTGATCTTTTTGGCTTGCCTGCCTTGAATTGCTTCCACAGACCTGCTCGACTTGTTTGTCTGCTGCTTATTATTCAGCACAACCCCCTCCCACTGCCCTTTCCTGTACATTCATGTTTGTGTCTAAAAGGCACAAAGGGACATTTTTTGAGGGGGAAGGTGATGAGCATTGGCTGCTAACTGGAACCCCAGCTCCTTGGACTCCAAGGGCCAGTCATGGGGTAGGGGGGAGCCATGTGCTTGCTTTAGCACACAGGGCAAGGACAAAGCAGTGGCTGGCTCAGTTGAAGTGAGTCACTACATTTCAAAATATGGGAAATGTAATGAGATGCTTCCTGAAACCTGAGTTTTGCACCTGCAAAGCACAGGAACAAATGCAAAGCAGAATAAAGCAAGCAGCAGGGCGAGGGTGTAGATACACACTCTACCAGAAATGGAGCTTGGTTCCTTCCTGCTCTCCCTGCTTGTAACTTCAAAGTGGGTTTTCCACAGGCAGGTGCAGGCAGCACTGATGGAAACAACTTCTGCAGCTCAGGTGAATCTCTGCTCTCTCCAGTGATGGCAGCTCCTACCTCATGTGGAAAAAACTGGCCTCACACCAGCCCTCTGAGCAGCAAGGCTCTGACATTAGAAGAGAGAATTCCCTTGCTGAACACAGGGTGGCTTTTTTCTCTAGGCTTCATCCTACCTCTTGCAAAAGGACTTTCTATGTGTAGAGGAACATGCTAAGGGTTAATAATGATGCAGGAGATTTCAGACTGCTCTGATTTAGTATGGAGAAATGCCTGCGCAGCTCCGTGAGTAGCAATGAAATGGAAGAGGGTTTTTGCAGCAGGTCTCTTGCTGCCTTAGACTTTGCATTTTGCTGTTGCCCTTTAGACAATGACTAAAGCAGCAGTTAAGCTTGCACTTAAATCCATAAATCCTAGAGTGACACCTTTATCAAGTCTTATTCACTCGAGTCTAAAATCACACCATTATTTAAGAGGTTGCTCCTCAGTAAAGTTAAATGGGAGAGCTGGGATGAGTCAGACACCAAGACTGTTGATTGACTTGTCCCAGATCGGGGTGGACCAGGCTCCTGGGCCATAGTTCCTCACTCAGGGGTGTCCATGTACCCTGAAGGATCCCAAGCTTTCACCAAACTGTGCCAAGGTGCCCAAGAGCTGAGCTCCTGCAAAGGAGCATCTCAAACTGGACACCTTAAAGACAAACTCACAGGCATTTCCCCAGCCTCTGCCCCAGGCGTGCTCAATGCCGAAAATAGGGCCGGCTTGAGCAAGGGCAGCCTGTGCAGGTGCTGGCAGTCAGGATGTCCACGTGAGAGGTGGAAGATTGAATTCACGTTCCTGCTTTGGTCAGTTTGGATGCTGCAAGCATCCTCACAAGGGAGTGCCCTAGCCTTGGACTGTTGGGTGGCTCCTAGTCCTCCACACTGCTCAAGGTGTGCCTGGGTGTGAAAACACTCATCAAGAAAGACGGGACTCAGACAAGACTCCTGTGCTTCTGGCAAGTTAACCACCACTCAGGACATCTGAGTCACGCAGCACTTGTACTCAAACACTGGGCTTCAGCAGGTGTGATCCCTCCATTCCTGCTCTCCATGTGATGCTGCTGGGTTAATGTCTCAGGACAAAGCTCTGTGGTTTCTCTTTGGATGGCTGGGTACTGATGTACAAGGGGAGAGGGCATCATTAAGGTTTCGTCAGACTTCTAAGACACTGGTGTTGGAGCAAGCCTGAGCATGACCTAGTGAGGCAGTTGGGACAACAAATTCCAGGGGAGGAAGAACTGCACCAGAACAAAGGAAATTTGTCTGAGGACAGAAACACAAAGAAAAGTCCTCCTTGTTGTAGCTCTAAGAAAGAGATTAAACTGTTTCTAAAGTTAGGTAACACTCCCTACCTCCCAGCCATCCCTCATTTGTCACCCAGATTATGTTGAGTCCTGGGGCAGCATCTACATTTATTAAACTGAGTTATTTGCATCCAAAAAGAGTAATTTAAAAAGAAGGCTCCGGCAATGCTACTGATCTTGTTCACCCCAGATTATGGTAGGACTTTGGATTTTATTTATGATCCTCCGGCATCTGATTCTGGTGGAGTTATAACTACCTTGCCACAATGCAGGTAAACTGATAACCACATCTGTTGATGCAAAGAATATACTCCCCTGAGTGGTGCCATCAAGGAGCTGTGGCAGAGGCAGAAGCTGGAAGCCTTCCTCCACCTGCACTCTATGGCAGGTGTTGTGACTAGGCAGGATGCCCTGCCTGTCCCCACTGAAACTGCTTCTGACCTTAACGGAAACAGGGAAGGTCGTTTCGGATGACTCACAGCATTGAATATTATGTTGGGAAATGAGCCATTGAGATCAGTAAATTGCTTTCATTTTCTGATGTGACTGTGGTGTTGGATGGGGATCAGGGAGGCAAAGGGTGGTTTGTTTATCCAAAAGGAGAAAGGGCTTAGTCAAAGTTTTGGTGGTTGATGAAAGTCCAGAGTTGGTAGCCAAGGACTGCCTCAGGGCACTTCCAGATCTGAAAATGTGATGGCATTTCCAAACATTAATAGTCTGGAAAGATTGGGTTCATTTCTGGATTTGAAGTGACATGAGCACCCAAATGAAGCAGGGGCTCACAACTAGTTTTATCAGAAGCTTGTCAACTACATTTAGGACATTTTATCTCAGACCTCAAGGGCTTTATTTGATCAGCTGCAGTTGGGAGTTTCTATTATCAGAACCAAGAGAAACCCTTTCATAATGGGGTCCAATATACCCCTTCCTGCTCTAGCATAAGGAAAGGTAAATGTGTTACATCTTTGATCTGCTGCTTGCTTAATTTCATCTAGATAAAAACTGGCTCTAACTTAATACTGTTTACTGAATGGTACCTATGGACAAGACCTTTGCCAGTTTGAATACAAACCACAACCTGATGAGAAAAGGGATATGATGACAAAGGTAGCTGTAACAGCAGGATAAAAGGAAAACCTCTTCCCTTCCTGTGTTGTTACAGCAAACAAATGGACTTAGCTTTTTTCCAACGGGAACCCCATATAAAAATAACAGAATTTGCCCCACAAATGGCAGCAGTCCCAAGCTTTCATTACTCTTATGATGTCACTGGAAGCCTTTTTCAAGCAGACACCATGACTGTCTAACATGCTGGAACTTGCCCTTGCAAAGGTAATCCGGTGTGTGTATGTCACCTATGTGTGTGCACACATTCACACAAACACACTTTTACTCCTGCAGGTCCTAATCAGAGCAGATACCCATTCTCCACTCTACTGAGTAATTAAACTTCACACTGCTGGAAGGCTCCCTGTGTTGGGCTGTGCTATGTTACACTGACAAACATGCACAGCATTTCCAAAAGACAGAATTATCCTGAGAGACTAACATCACCAGTCAGCTTAAAATTTGACTGATCATCTGTAACAGAGTCTCGTTAACTGGTTTTCACAGATGAGTAAGAACAGATACTGCTGGGGTTTTTAATTGCTACCATCAAGCTTAATTGGAGGTTCAAGCTGAATGAGTGTAAGTATACAGAGGCGGGTGTGGGAATGTGTCCCAGATTGCACCCACCACATTCTTCTGGTTGTCTCTGGAAGGAGATACCATCATTATAGTAACCATCCTTAGCCTTCCCACAGGTTTTTGGCTCGATGGAGCCCAGAGCCTCCCTTCCCCACCTGCTGTGGACAGCCAGCAATAACGTGTGGGAAGCTGACACTGCTCCCACCCTGTTCCTCTAGTTTGTACACACAGCAGCTTCCACAAACAGAATGAAATCCACATGGAAACATCCACCAGGAAAAAAAAATCTCTGACATGGAAGAGATTGCACTGCCAAGGGGACTAGGAGCACAGAGAGGAAGAGAGCTGCTGCTGAATTCCTGGTGTTAGGAGCAGACCCATGTGTCATGCTTGTGGGGAGGGATACCTTCTCTCATCCCAAACTGTTATAGTACATCCAGCAGCAAGTGCACCAGTGATCTTGGCAAGTATGTGTGGCCACCTATCCAGAGAAGAAAAACACTGCTACAGACACTGAGCAGAAACAGCCTTTTGCAGGAAATCGCCTCAATTGCTCTTAAGAGGAAAATGCACAAATCTGAGAGGAACGTTTTGGGTCTCGATATCTGCATTGTGTGTTGTTTTGCAGATGAATTCCAGGGGCAGAAGGAAGAGTGTTTATTTAACTTTTATCAGCATTCCTTCTGAACTTCTTTCCGTTCTGAATGAAAGTAAAAACTGAAAGAATCTCCCAAGGAACGTGATGGTTGTTGTAATTACTGCTTTTAGCTCCCATTTGTCCAGGAAGTGTGAATCATAATTGCTCATGTCACAGGGAAGCTCCAAACAAGCCTTTCTCTAAATTTGTTTGTGGAAATACTCACACTGCTTTACTTGCACATCTCTCCTCTGGCAGGAAGGGAGCAGAAGCTGCCCTGCACTTCATGTGTCATCTGTAGCTATTCTGTAAGAAATACATTACTGACCAAAACAGGGATGGGACTGTGGTCAGTCCCAGGACCCTCTGTGCTTTGTTTCTCCTGTCATTTCCATAGGTATCCCTTCTTTAAAATCAATAGAAACAGCCAAGTTGCATCCCAAAGGGGAGTCAAGTATTGCTATTCCCAGTGCAGGCTCAGGGACACTGAACGTAATACTGCCTGCTTCAACAGAACGATTACTGTGCTTTGGTCATGCATGAGCAAGTTGATTTAAGTGTATATGTTTGGTTCTAACCCACCCTTAATACATTATATATTTTTTCCAGCTTTGAGATGTTTGTACAGCACCTGGCACAGCTAAACTGAAGCCACTGCTCAGAGGGGCTGGGACCAATGCCATCTATATAAATACTGGAATAATTGGGGTTAGCAGCACACTCATGGCAGAACTCTGCCAGTTCACATGCGTTCACATGCAGTGTATCACTGCTCCTTTCACACAGCATGGATTTCATTATCCAGGTGAATAATAGGAGGAAAGGGAGGGCTAACTTCTGAAAGCCAAGACATAGATAAGCAAGTTTGCCAATGTTAGGAGGGGGTAAGCTGGTTTAGAGCAGTTACTTTGCGAATCAGCTTGAATCCCCTCCAAAGCCCTTGTGGTTTTGGGTCCAAGCAGACAAAGCAATGCAATCCTTCAAGTGTTCTCAGTATTGACACACACTGCTGAGCGCTGTGTATGCCAAGATACAAAGAGGCAGCCTCCACTGGTCCATTATTCAGTGCTAGACAACTTGATTATGGTGGCAACAAACTACACTTTTGCAATATTGACATTGTGGTCTACGGTAACAAACAAGTTATAAAAGGCCTGCCACATTTTTAACTACTGCTATGGCTGTGATTAATGGCTTTAACTCAATCTGAAACATCTGATCCGTCTTCTTTGGAAGAAAGTTCATGCAAAGTGCAATTCTGTAAAGGAAGTTTTCATCTGCTCCTAACTTGGGTCATGATGTCATCACCTTTCAAAGCTGGCCTGAGCTTGGTTCTGGGGAAAAATTGTAAGGAAATTCCTATTTAAGTATGGTCTTGTGGTGATAAGAGCTGCACTGCATCAGGACTAATTCATGCCTTCAGCCACATTAGGTGTGTGCAAGGAAAGCTTGGTCATTTCTCTGCAGCATCAAACACCAGAAAGACTCTTACTTGCTCCAGCTTCTGAACAATTCTGCAGAATGGCTGGGAGCTTCGCTGGCCTGCTGTGCCCGGGGCTTGCCAGAGCCAAAAGCATGATCCTACCCCACTGCTCTGCCTTTCTTCCTTGCCCTTGAGCTGAAGGGTCTCAGAATGCTCCCTGGTTTCTGCTGGTCTGACCACCCATGTGACAAACCTGGCTCAGCTCAGCGTGCTTCAGAGCTGGCAAAAAGGAGGCAAGAGCACATGGCCAGCAAGGATGGAGCAAGCATGCCTTTCCAGGGTAACCTGTGGACAAAATGGTCCATCTTTATCCTGTGCCTGCAGCCTGAACCAAATAACTCATACCAGCTGGTCAGCCTCAAGCCAACTCATACAGAGCTCCCTAAGTGCATGATGGATTGTGAAGAAGGAAAATTAGAGCACCAGCACAGCTGACAGGAGACACAAGTTCAAAGCCTCATAGATCTGTAGGCACTTCCCTTGATTTCAGGGATTTAAGGTTTAGGGTTATACTTTGCCTGCTGCTAAGCAGAACGAACACACTGTCCTAAACCACTAGGCTGATCCGAGTGTGATGAAGAATTTAGGTGTGCAGATAAAACTGTAAAGAGCCATGTAAGTCCCATGGAGATAAATGCTTGCCCTGGAGTTAGCTTGAATTTCTAACAAGTATTTTCTCTATCTGCAAGGCATAGCGCTGCAAACTTACCCTTAAACACAAAGCAGCCTGGAGCAGTCCCATGAGCTCTAGTGCTGCATAGGTGTAAACAATTATTAATAACAAATCTACTAGGCAAACTGGAAGGCATATTTGAGCTGTGTCAATGTTGTATCCCAAAGCAGAACCAGATCATAGAGTGGTAGTTATTCACTTTCAATGCATGTCTGTCTGTCCTGTGTCTCCAAAAGGTGCATCACCCTGCTACCCCAGCCTGTGCCTGGAGATAATTCATGTTATTTCTGTTATCATCACCAGTAGTAACAACACCCTCACCATCATTGTGTGGGCTCAAAAAGCAGCAGTCTGGCAAAAGGTTGCAGATAAGGAGTGGAGCTTTGTTTTTTGACATTGTCATCAGTGATATGGGGTCAGTTCAAAAGGTTTAGGGAAATATTGCTTGATCCAGTGCTGACACTTCAAGTCTAATTAACCTGGACATTAGTTCTTAATGAAAAGTGTTACTGCAGTAGATCCTACCTGGCTCTGGAGGGTCTAGGAGGCAGCTCCTGACAGTTTATCCTGACAGTTTAGCCCCAGTTTTTTCACAAGGATGGTCCAACCACAGCCCAGTGTGGTGTTGTTTTTCATGCCAATGGCACATACCGCCGTTCCAATGTGAGTGAACATATTAACATCAACAGAGTCTTTTCCCCAAGCTAAACATATTACGGCATCAGCAAATTACAGGGCACTGTAAATTAGACTCCCTCTTGTGCAGACTGTTTGCTGGGCCAAGGCCACATCCCTCCCCTAAGGAAGGCAGCAACAGAGCGTTTCATTACTTCTCAGTTTCCCTTACTCCCTGCACAGAGCTGTGTGCTTGGGCATGGGCATATTTCTGCTCATGCTCCCCAAGCATCCATCTTATGTGCACTCCCCAGAGGATGTTTATGTCACATTACACTATGCCAGTGGCTAGTAACCCCCCACAAAAGAGACAGCCCATAGGTCTGGATCAGTGGTAGGGCATTTTTACCCATTAAAAAAATGTCTTCCCCTTTCTGAGCACCTGAAGTCAGAAAAGGTTCAAACAATTCCCCAAAGCACCTGCACTGAAATCCTGGAGTCAGGTAGACAAGCAGACTTGGCTCACTGACAGATGGGTTTTGGTCAATGTGCTTTTACCAGACCTTTTCTAGGCAACTGCAAAGGGTGGAGAAATGCTATTGCAGGTCTGGGAAAAACAATGACTAAAATGAATTGTTGAGCTGTTTTCATTGGAAAAACAACAAATGCAGCCCACATTCTCCCATCCCCCTTACCACAACTGGCAGCTTTGCTTGCAGGAGTAACCCAGGGCCACCAGCTCTAGCTCCAATTGCATGTGGCAGTTGCTCTGCCAGCTCCAGTGCCAAGGCTGTGCCACACTCATCTCAGTACAGCCACCCCTCCAGGAGCTGCATTTAAGAAGAAAAGCCCTAAAAAGAGCAGCAAAAGAGCAGCACACATAGGTAAATGATTATTTACAGCTGCTGCGTGGGAAGTGTTACACAAGGGGAGGGTGGAGTGCGTTCCACCCCCTTTCCACAGCCTGTGGACAGAAAACCCTATCGCTGCTGTGATGTTTCTACTCCCCCAAGATGGAGTTAATACTGTTTACCTTGTAATACGAATTCTATTTCTTGCTTTTTCCCCTTGGTTGAGCTTGTTTTCACAGCTTCCCTGCTGCTCTTCTGCTGGGGCAGCTGGCTCTGAAGGCAGCCAGGAGCACAGGGCTGGCAGTAGCAGCATCCCACCCTCCCACCTGCTGAAAGTTACTGTGTGGTTCCCAGATTAAAAATCAAAGCCCTTGGTTGCAGTGGGAGGTGTATCCATGGCAGGGGAGAACACTGGTACTAGCATTAAGCTCTTCTCACATAGCTTGGTCTTTCCTAGAAGCCAGGGAAATAGGAAAGCACGGCACCAGCTAGTCCATATTTTTCTTCCCTCCCTGCCTCCCGCATGCTAGAGCTCTTGTCACCTTTTTTCTGTTTATATGTTTGTTTAGTTTCTTTTTTGAGTAAAAGCCACCTGCAAACCATAGGGCATTGGCCAAAGCTGTCCTTATGCCCCTTAGTCTGTTGGCAGTGCGGATGGAAGTCCTTAACTGTGACCGTTTTGTTCTCAGCCCTGATGTGAAAAGGCAGCTCTTATGTCAGTCACATCCTTCACCTTCCTGGACAAGAGCCAGTGATGTACTTTTTGCAGATATGGCATTTTATGATGTCGTAGGTGAAGTACAAAAATACCATGGTAAAAATGGGGACTTGGTGCAATGTCCCAGAATGTGCCACCAGCTCATCTAACCCAGCCTGGCTGTACTGGTCAGGTACAGGTTAGTGTGATTAGATGGGACTGGTGATGAAAGGACTTGAGGAAACCGTTCCTCAAGGAGGAGGGAGGACCTGGACAACTGTAGAGAAGAAGGGCAGGAGGTGAGCAGAACCCACTTTTAGAGTAAGGCAAAACCTGAACACACAGAAAAACCTGGGACACTCACCATCAGAATTCAGGTTTCTGACATGAAACCTGGCCCCGGGCCTGGCTGAGGAACCAGACAGCAGCAGAGAGCAGTTTCTGTCCCTCAGGGCAAACCAGGTGGATGGGTTGGCTGCATGGGGTGCCCAGTGCTGACGCCCTAGCCTGGGCAGGACCCACCAGATGGTGGCTGCTTGCAGTCCCTGTGGCAGCAAAGCAGAAGCACCTACTGGTTCCCATGACCGGGGGCTCCTGCTCTCTGCAGCAGTTCTCTGCAAGAAATGTAGACCCTAGAAACACCAAGTCTCTGATGCAGTATGCTAGGAATCCAGGCAGGGCTTTTCTGGAAAAGCTGTAGGAGTTGGGATGTTTTCCAATTGAGCACATGAGGCTCAACAAAGGAGTGTTTTTCCCTTTCTGCTCAGCGATGCAGATGCCATAGCATGCAGGACTTCTGTGGGAACTACAGCAATGTACTGTAGAAGAGCAAGCTTCTTGTCACAGGCTGTACTACTAGAAGCAGGAAAACAGCAACCAGGCAAATTTAAGAACCAGTGGGATTGGAGAAATGAAGAGTCTGATGACGGGGATAATGAAGAAAGTCTTGCAATGCTGTTTTTATTGCAACCAAAGGGCCAGTTTGGAAAGCTCAGGTCACTTGCCCTTGTCACTTGGATTCAGAGCCCTGGCTGAAATGTGGTTGTTGTGCACCTGTGGCTGGTGGGGTAAACCACATCACCCTCTGAAAAATTAGTGCCCCTATACCAGAGCAATCCTATTTCTCTGGGACCTCTTCAGAGTCCAGATTATGCTTTGCCTAGAAAAGTTGGACCAGATGATCCTTGAGGTCCCTTCCAACCTGATATTCTGTGATTCTATGATCTGACTGCAGCTCTGTCACTGTGCAAAGAACTAACTCTGCAGAATGCCTCTTCAGGTAGACACAGGGGTAAAACCATGGAAGATGCTTCTACTGGTGGCATCCTTTATATGTCCTTTGTTAAAACACCGAGACAATTTTACAATTGTCAGTTCACTGGCTGTCCCAGCTATCCCATATTCTCCATGCTCAGGACAAAGGCTCAAGCTCTTCCAGTCTGGTTACTCATTTAGATTTGTAAATCTGCTATATTTGAGCAACTTCAGGAAGTTACTGGCATTTCTGCTTTTGAGCAGAAGTGCTGCATTAACCTCTTTCACTCAGCAATGCCATCATTTCTGTAAAAAGACTGAGTTTGTATGAGTATTTCACAAATATTTCTTGTCACCAGCTGCCACCAGCTCCATTGG